CGGTCCTCATCGCGACTGACGGAATCAATAATAAAGGGAGGAGGAGGCTCAATCGGATAATAGACGGAATGGGGCCATCATCGGTGTGGAGCGTCGTCTCTCGTATCGCTGTGAGTCTCGTCGGGTAGCGCTCGGTGGTGGGATAGGCAACCCTCGGCCAGCCCGCGCGGCCCTGCGCGCCCACTGCCAACCGCGCGTGCACGGGCGCGCGCCGGCAGCGGGCCCGGAACGCAGCGCACGGCCTCCAGAGAGCGGGCGCCCGGCGGGGTGGGCAACCCGACCGCGGGGCTGCGCGGGGTGGCCGAGGATTGCCTACCCCACGGGCGCTCGCCCGGCCCGGTGTGGTGGTGTTGCACTGTGCGCTGCGCGCCCGGAGAGCGAGCGCCTGGCGGGGTAGGCAACCCCCGGCCGCCCCGCGCAGCCCCGCGGTCGGGTTGCCTACCCCGCACCCCACGGGCGCTCGCCCAGGCTAGTCCGCGGTGCGAAAAGGGGGCGCGGTGCGCGGTTTGTTGTGACGAGGCTCGGCCCGGCGGACTACCGCGAGGCCCTGGCGCGGCCGGGACTGTCGCGCCGCGCTCCGCCCAGATGAGGGGGTGCACTCCATGGGCGGCGGGACTGCTCCTCGCCCCGGGCTGGCTGCGGGTTGAACACGGCACAGTTTAGTTGTCTATGGGGCGTGCGCTCTCCGGCAGGCTGACTGTCATCGCTACTGTGCAAACGGCTCACAAACCTTCCGATGATGATCGTCGATAGCCGCAAACCGTGCTTCCGTCCGCAGAGTGCGCAGGTTTGTGTACCTGTCATTGATATTCCGCGCTTGCCCAATTCGTCCTCCTTGAAACAGTCCCTTGTGTTATCGCCTGCGGTGAGACTGCCTCATCATTGTAGAACCACGCGCCTGCATAGCACACCCCGCTCCACTGCGCGTCCCACGCGGCGGGCCAGCCACGGCCCAGGGGAGAAGGATAGGGGGGGGGGACTCGCAAATCGCCCCAAATCGACGCCACTGTCTCTCTCGTCTCGTCTTGCGCTCTCTCTCTCTCTCTCTCTCTCTCTCTCTCTCTCTCTCTCTCTCTCTCTCTC